ATACATGTTCTGTTATAGACAGTACACATATACTATACAATACATGTTCTGTTATAGACAGTACACATACAATAAATGTTCTGTTATAGACAGTACACATATACTTTACAATAAATGTTCTGTTATAGACAGTACACATACAATAAATGTTCTGTTATTGACAGTACACATATACTTTACAATAAATGTTCTGTTATAGACATTACACATACAATAAATGTTCTGTTATAGACAGTACACATATACTATACAATAAATGTTCTGTTGTAGTGAGTTAACATATAGGTACAATTAATTTTCTGATATCGACAACACATGTGAGCTTTGTATTGAAGAAGTTAAACAGATATGACTTTTTCAGCTCTTCTATTCCCTTGCTATTTAAAGTTGTGTACCCAAAGACTGGTGTCATTTGTACAGTTAATGTTGAAGACGTAGTACTCTAAACAATGCAAGTGATTTTGCAAAACAGACAAAATCGCGGAAAGAGCAGTGATTTAATATTTGCATTAAAAAGGTCGAGCACCTAAGGATATAGTAGCAACACTTTGGAATGATACCTTTTCGTATGCTTTAGTGAAAAGATGGGTTGTGGAATTAAAGCGTAGCAGGCGGAGCCTTGGGGATGACGCCCGTCCTTGAAGGCCTGTCACTGTTGCAACCCCAGAAATGGTTAATGAAGTCCATGACATTGTTATGGCTGACACACGAATTGAAAATAGATATATTGCCAGTACATTTAGGATTTCGAGAGTACTGATTGCTGATCTTAACCCTTCAGAGACAGATCCGGATAACTTTCTGCAGGGGTCCAGCATTTCACCCCAGAGGCCAAACATCAACGCTCTAAACAATGGCAACACACTGGTTCATCCCCTCGAAGAAGGCAAAGACTGTTCCATCAGCTGGAAAGGCCTCGCTTTTCTGGGATTCTAATGGTATTCTGATGGTATAATATCTGCAAAAGGGACAAACAATCAATGGCACATATCGTGCATGACTTCTTAGGTAGTGAAGAGAACATATTAAACTAAAGCGCCGCGGAAACCTCAGTAGAGGTGTGTTGTTCTGCACTGCCCATGTTCACAGGTCTGTCATTGCCATGACATTAACTAAATAAAGGTGATGTTTGCAAAAATACCGTTCGAAATAGATTTTTTTTCTGAACAGACCCAAAAATTCTACTGTCTGTTAAATATAAACACTGAAGGGTCAAAACTATTGCAATATGAATGCTGACTTGTTGGACATTTTTGTCTCCTTGACGTATCCTCCTATCTAACATACCCACAGAAATACCATACAGTTTTTGGTCGTATTTTTTCATTGCAGCTCGAAACTTTCAAGAGACATTTTTACTGATGTCCAATCAGTCTCAATCTGGAGTGACGTCATCATGTCTGGTGTGCACACAGTTGAGTTGTGGAGTTTATTGCCATACGTCCTTGAACGATTAATCTCTCATGAGGCTTTGTACACATATCAATCTATGTATGGCGTCGAAGTCATAAAAGATTTCCGACAAAGCATCTTATTTTGGAAAAACAATCTCTTAATTTATTTCTAACGTCGGAATTCTTTGGATTTTTCCCCTTGGTCTAAAAAATCCTTTGAAATATTGAAATAGCAATTGTGATTGATTTCACTCTATTTTCAGCCCACCGTCTGATGATGATCAGATGTTTAGTTAAATATCTTGCGTCCGTCGCCTGTCCGTCCGATTTCTGGAGAAGCACCAGATGCGTCATTCTCGATTTTTATACGAGAGATCCTTTTGATCCATAGTTGTATATAGACCTTATAAGAACTTTAAAAAAGTCGACGGGCCGCCGTCCTGGATTTCGTCAATCATACATTATTATCGATATTTCTTGATAAGCGTTTAAGTCATCATTCCGAATATTTCTTGATAAGCGTTTAAGTCATCATTCCGAATATTTCTTGATAAGCGTTTAAGTCATCATTCCGAATATTTCTTGATAAGCGTTTAAGTCATCATTCCGAATATTTCTTGATAAGCGTTTAAGTCATCATTCTGAATATTTCTTGATAAGCGTTTAAGTCATCATTCCGAATATTTCTTGATAAGCGTTTAAGTCATCATTCCGAATATTTCTTGATAAGCGTTTAAGTCATCATTCCGAATATTTTTGTATATAGGTTTTCCTTGGTTCCTTGTTGTGCTGTTTTGATTCTAGTACTGATAAAAAAACAAATGGGTAGCTAACAAGCGACCATCTTGGATTTGAAAGTTTAATATTATTCAAATTCTATATGATTAAGAGCAACATTAACGGAAACAAGATAAAAGATATAAATACATGTAATACAACTTTTAAAGAACAAATTAAGATAAATCAATGGCGCGCGTTAAGATCATTTGGTTCAGTTTCATCAAATTCAGTTAGATTCGCCGTTATTATTTGAAAATTAACAGATTTTGGTGAATGGTTTTGAACATTGTTGAGTATTTTAATTAATCGTAACTTGTATAGATGCTAGATGTTATGGAATATGATTGTTTGTTTCGTATACTCATATTTGATTTTGAGCATTGAATATTTTTATAGCTTTAGGAAAACAGTCTTTCCCTAAGATTTGGTGTTCAATGATAAAACATTTTTTATATTACAATTCAGTTCGTCCATTGTCCATTGTACGTCGTCCGTCCCTCGGTAAACAATTCTTGTTGTCGTTTTTCTCTATAAGAATTTATTAAATTTTCTCAAATTTCGTATGAAGGTTCTTCTTTCCCCAGATGTCCCTTTTGACTTTTGGCCTGATAACAAAAACGGAAGTAATTTTGGATATTGACAATGAGACATTGTTATAGTCATTTCTCGAGAAGTACGCAGTGGGTCTTTCTCAAATCCCATGCATATGTTCCCCTTGGTTCCTAGTTGTGCCCTTTTGATTTTGGGACTGAGGAACTATCTTGGATTTGACAATTAAAAATTGTTATTGCTGTTCCTGAGGGAGAAAAAAAATCACATTTCATATAATGAAAAGCAAGAATAGAGGATGGGAAAAAAATTAGAAAGAAATCCAACTGAAAAGATACAAAACAAAACTGGGTGCCAAGATCTATCTGGGATCTCTTGTTCAATACAATCTCGGTAGAATACATAGCCACAGATTCCCTGTAACACCAATTTCATCGACCCCGGTGCTGATAATCTTTTTCATAACCACAACTTATCTTGTATTGAAAGTGACGGTATGAATTGTCGATTGGTTGAGATGAAGATCATGTGACATGTTTACGCTCCAGGTACTATTAGGAGGAGAAGTCACAACAAGACAGACAATCGACGGCGAATCCAAATATCATTGTGGGAGTTTGTAACAACAATTTACAGGCTGAGGGCAGATCAAATGCAGTTAAAATACAAACCAGGACACTCCTGTGAGACGCGTGAGGTATATCAGAAGATCAGAGCTCACTAACGACGAAAAGCACGGCCATTAACAGTATTGTTGAACATAATTAAATGCATTCACAAGGAAAGAAGAAAGAGGAATCGTGATATATTAAGAGGGTAGTTTTAGATATCACAAAAGTACAGGAAAGTGGGATGAAACCATCAGTAATGAGAGGCATCTTCCTTCAACAGGTCCATCAATATGGATAGTTGGGTTGGAAAAGATAAAGAGTGAAGATTTCCATGTTTCAAAATTATTTGACTTCTAAAGGTTTCGACAGACTTGAGGAAGATAAAAGAGGATTGTGTTCAAAGAAACTGTCTATACATGGTTAAAAGGGAAATGTAAAGATAATTGGAGAGTTCTGTGCGAACTTTTAGATAACGTTCATATTAACGGCAGGATTCCTACTTAACGTAAACGAGATAGAAAGAAAGCTGAACACAAGAGATCCGGCTTGGAAAAAAGGTGTGCCAATATGGCAGAAAGTGAGTGAGGTGCCGATATCATGACTGAAAGTACACATGTACGGTTACACAAAACATAGTTGTTGAGAGAGAGAGAGAGAGAGAGAGAGAGAGAGAGAGAGAGAGAGAGAGAGAGAGAGAGAGAGAGAGCTTTGTACTGAAACGAAAAAGGTGTGTTGTCAAGTAAGGCGTTTACTACACTTGTAAACAAGGCCCTAATAGAAATGCACCTGCAATGAAGTGGAGTTGCGTAAAGGGGATTCCCATCAGCTTCAGATGGCAGCGGAAGGAGAAACATCTCTTACCGCGGTTAGCTACCTTTTCTATGAAGATGTTACACGACATCTTGTGAAACTAACAGCGCCGGGTGACAGGGCCAGCAGTCGCCAAGGAAAAAACGAATTTACTATTATTACAATCAGGGCGATGACAAGAAGTCCTGTCATTCAGCTGCTTTTGGTCATAGGTTTGTGCAGTACAAACCAAGAAGCTGTAAAACTGTCACTGCCTTCATGTTGCAGCTAAAAGGCATTTGTCAAGCGATATTCGTTTTCAGCAATACAGCGACTGAATAGTGTCACGGCTTAAATATATGCTAGTTCGAGCTTTGGAAGGGAGCTCACATATTTAGGTAAATGTGACCTGTAACTTATCATCACGGCGATACGTCTTATTAGTCAAAAAGCTATACCACATCGTATATAGATTTAATTCAGTAATTCATTATGTTGCTGTATTCTTTCATCCTTTTCAATAAAAAAACAAATCTAGAATGTTAGTTAAAACATAGATTTAATTTGATATTATACTATTTTACTTTTAAGTTACCATTTGTTCATTTAAAATAGATGTGTATTTCTATTATAGGCCTTTGGTCATATTGTGGCTTTCGTTAAAAAAAACGCGACAATTTGGTGGTACAAGGGAAATAACTCTAACATGTTTATATTCGGGTACCTGTTGTGGAACCCACGTCATTTGAAGAGAAGGCTGCCAGTGACAGCCGCTAGCTTGTTATGTTCTCCCCGCTCTCCGCATAACAGCCACATTGTTATGTCTGTTGGGGTTATGTGACATATTCCTGGAGAAATATGTGACTGGACATTTGCTATGGGTAAAGATAGAATCCATAACGGCTACGGTAGCGAGCCTGGGTCTCCAAATGGCCATCACCCTCTCCGCGAACACAAGCAGGCAACAAGACAAAGCTCAACTGAACTCTTTGACTTGGCTTCCAAGGTAAGCCAATGCAGTGTCGGGTATACTTATGTATGGTTGTCAGAGAATGTCCTCAAGTCTGTAGTATAATACAAAATTGCTGTCATGGTTGAATATGTATTGGGTCTGTATATCGAAGGACATTTTACTGAAAGTACTTTTAAGTAGATGCATGTTTGAATTGCTATAGTAAACAAGCTGTGTCGCTGTTAATGGGGATAAGCTGATACGCCTTTTTAACAAGTATCTGTTTGAGATAAAATCACTGTCACGATTTAGTTTAGTAACCGGTTTAAAAACTAGATATTTACTCTGTCGAATTATTCAGTAATACATTTTACCACTCAAAAATGTATTTATCGGTAATATAACCGATAAATGCGTTAAAGATAAGCACTTTTGTTAATTCGAGTCAGATATTCATTTTGGAAATTTGCATGTTTAAATTCAGTGCCGGAAATGTTGTTTTTTTTTTTTTTAATTTCCCAAAAGGTTGATAGTTTCTGTTAAACTACTAAAATTTTTAGATGATGTTTTCTAAGTCAAATTAATACACAGAATTTGGTACATGTGTGCTTACCATGAGTTAAAGGGACTAAATGGTTAGATATTCATTTCATAACTGATATTTATTTAAAATGGAATAGAAGTGACCCAACACTAATTCATATTACCATAAGTAGAGTGTAAACAATGTCATGCATTTTTAGATTCAGATTAACTCAGAATCATTTATTTCGCCCTGTCATGTGTATATTGTGAAACAAGAGGTCATTTTACAAGTAAGAACTAAAACATGTGGTAAATTAAGTTTTGGCTAATTACATTGTTATACAGAGTAAGAAATCATATCATAACAACAGGTTAAAGCAAGGCTCTGAAAGCGCTATTTCTTATCAAAAACTGTGATGGGTGGTAGACACTACAGTGAGTATCCACTAATGTTAGTTTGAAGCTGATAAACAATTTATCAATTTCTCTCAGAAATTGTTTATAATTTTTATGAAGAGTCAAATTCTAAGTATTACCATGCTTGACTGAAATCAGATGCCAGGGGTCAAACTTAACTTATGTATTCACTAGCTAATCATTTCGAGCGCCAAAAATTTCCACTATCAAAATGAAATTGTGGACTAGCAAAATTTTTGCAGTGTTTTCATTAATTTTAACCCAATGCAAAAGTAGGTTTTTATATGTGTCATATTTACATGCTTGTGACTACAATTTTACTGTACATTATTGTTGGGATAAACCACGAGGATTTCTGCATGTAATTACAGTCATTGTCAATGAAACTCTTACTACACGTTCACAACAGGTGAGATACACACCAAATCAGTAACATTACACTGATAATTTTCAACCATATGTTGAAGAAACACGTAACTCGCAAACATTTTCAGAGTTGACATAATTTTTTTACTTGCAATTTCTTCACTTTAACCCGCATTTTATGAGTTACAAAGAGTAAATTTTGATGCCTGAATGCATGGGAAAAAATAATGAAGTTTAACTATTTAGTCCCTTTAAGAAATTGGATTTTAAAAAGATGTTGATATCTGTATTTTTAAGTCTATGGTAGGACCTAACCACTAATAGAGTTAAAAGGTACAGTCTACTTGTGTACCATCTGGATATATCATTATATCTCTATAAAGTTGTACTTAAAACACAGCTTTATCACAAAATTTTACTGTCCTGATAATTTCTTGAAAAAAATCTCTCACATGTACATTAAAAGGAATTAATTTCAGATTCTCTCATTTCTACTATATTGGTGTGTGTTGGAACATGAAGGTTTACTCTACACAGGTGTATAGTAAAAGTTTATATTGATGTTTCGTTTCACATCAGACAAATGTTACCTTAGGCAAATGACTTAAAAACCTAGTATTGTCATGTAACAATACCTACATACACATTAATACATGTGGATGTCTTGAGATTTACGTAGAGATATTTGGACCTCACTTAAAACAGCAACATGTGTTATAGGGGGTGGCTTGCATAGCAATGCTTAAACCACTTATTACAATTTGATGATGTACGTTCAGCAGCATTTACATAAAGTAGTGGAATCAGCAAAGGTAAAGATGAAGTTTAACATTAGGAAACAGTTTTTAGTTTTAAAGTGTGTTGTAATATATTGTAGAATGTTGATGTTGTGTCAGTAGATCTGGAGTGTAATCTTTCATTTCCACATATTTATTATATGATTTCAGATTTTTTATTTACATTGTATTAATTTCAATTATAAATATGACTGCAGGAATTGATGCTCATTTCTGGTTTTATAAAAAATGCATAATGTACAGGTTCAAACCTTGTGTGTACATTGTATTACATACCGTAGTAAGTATATCTGTAATGTTAATGGTTTACACTATGTGTGAACATTGTATTACATATGTATATCTGTAATGTATATGGTTTACACTATGTGTGAACATTATATTACATTTGTATGTCTGTAATGTTAATGGTTTACACTATGTGTGAACATTGTATTACATATGTATATCTGTAATGTATATGGTTTACACTATGTGTGAACATTATATTACATAGGTGTATCTGTAATGTAAAAGTTAACACTATGTATGAACATTGTAATACATATGGCCACAAGTAAAATTTTAGTTGCCATGTGAATGGGTTTTTTTCATATTTATATGTACAATACGCAAAGTGTTTCTCTTATTTGAATTACCTGTGTTACACAGTGTAACTGACTAGCCGATCTCCTGGTATCACTTATTGTCCATGTTTCTGTATTCATGTATCGGCTTTAACTTTATATAAGTGGGGTTAAAATGGGACTATTGGAAATTATAGTTTCCAATAAAAAGAAATTAATCATCATTTAGGTTCTGGACATACATGCGCTGTAACAGGAGTTTCCATTTTATACAACTGTTAAAAACAAATACAAAGACTTTTCAACTCTTGCTAATTGTCACATCATGTTGTAGTCTCCATGTCAAGTATATGATGTTCTTTCATCAACATTTTATGACGTGGTAGTAAGTCATTATACACCAATATCCTTCTTTTTTTGTCAGAAATTGTGTGTAGACCCCCTAGGGTTACTGTAGATTAAATATACTTTAACTTCATTTATTCAGGATTTCATTTAGGTATAGATAAAACATAAATGTAAAAATTCTAAATTTTATATGGGTCATGATTCCTGCAGTTATTCATTTAGTGTGTTATGCCATGTTTTTATTTGTTTATTGACGTGTAGCACATAGAATCATCCTGTTCACATAAACTATTACTACAGACTCTTCTTTCAGGTTTCTTTCACAGCTATATTAATGTGTGGCAGAAGGAGGTTACATTTACACCATGAGTGAGTCACCTGGAGAATATATGATGTGATTGGTATTATATTAATTGTAGGTGATGTTAATAGGGGACAGTGGTGTCGGAAAAACATGTCTTCTTGTTCGATTTAAAGATGGTGCCTTTCTCTCGGGCAGTTTTATTTCCACTGTTGGTATAGACTTTAGGGTGAGTTTAAAATTTTGTTTTTAATTTTCTGTTTTGTTAATTGATTTTATTTATTTATTTATTTGTTTTTACAATGATGGGTTTAATTATGATGATATCTTAAAAATGATCTACACAGACAATGAACCAATGTCCAGATTGAGGATTGCATACAAGACCTTGTTTGTCTAGATATAGAAACTTACTAAGTTATATTATTATCTCTGACCCCATGAACAACCATGTTTTGTATATGTGAATGATTTTGATAAGAGTTAAGCTTCACTGTCGAGAGTTTAACACAGTAAACAAATATAAATTAAGATAGAAGTTTTATTACAGTACCTCTCTGTCATAGTAATAGAATTCTCATCTCAATGATTTACCATTCCATTGTGAGGAAATATCTGTCTCCATGATGAATACATTTTTTTCAACCTTTGGATATGAAATATTGATGAAGAACTTCTACCAGAAAAATCATTCTGTGGCCTTCAATTAGCAACTCATAACAAATGAAAAAATTGCTGGCTGTGTGAGGGGAACTATATTTGTGTAATGGCAAGGTCAAGGGGGAACCTCTTGTCCCTATTGAGAAAAATCCCCTTTGTGATGATTAATGAAGGAATCCTGTCATTATGGGGATACTACATCACTATTGAGGGAATGTCTGTAAGTCAAGAAATCCATGTCAAGTTGAGTGACCCTTTGTCCATGTGAGGACCCAGAATTCCTGTTACATTGAGGGAATCCCTGTCGTAAACTGCCTGTGTTGTGTAAGGTTGTTGTGTAAGGTTTTCTTTGCAATAGTTGAGTAGAGTTTTTATTAACACAAGACAGGCTTCAAATCAATTCAATTTTCAAACTATATATTTGTAGCTTTTCAACACAAGGCATGCGTCAATTGAGGAAGAAGTCTAGACCCTTATCAAATTTGTACGAAGCAATAAAAGTTTTAGAGGCTACACCTGGACCTTCAAGGAGTTCTTATACCGATGAAAGAAACCTTAGAAGTACCCTCGAACAGAATCCTTATCTGTGAACAGTACTGTTGTATAACCTAAACTAACAGGAGACAATCAATAGAATGTAAATATCAATACAAGTTACCAATATTTAAGGTCATTTGACCTTGATTAATGATCAACCACAATGTTACATTTGGCTGCAAATACCTTAATTAGGGGTTAAGGAGTAGCAGTTTGAATTACAAGTTAAAGAAATAAGACTGTATATGTGATGACCGTAAAGCCCCATGGGCCTCTTGTTTATCTAAACCTGATAGCCTTCAGTGTAATAAGATGTGTGTCATTTTAGATTTAATATGGGGTGGCTAATCTGGGTTGGGGAGGGGCTCTAAATCTACCACTGCACAAGTGGGAAAATTTATGTCTCAGACAAGTTAGACATGTCTCTGTTGAACAAGCAAATTAATACAATACACAAGTTAGAAAATTTATGTCTGACAATGTAGACATTTCTCCATAGAAAAATAGATTCATTTGAGATAATGCCTAGCAACAGTGATAATAAAAAGAGATTGTCTGGAGATTATATCTCTGACTTGGAAAGTCATTAACCCAATAGTCAAGTTGAAAGCACTCTGTTGAATCATCCAGTAGCCCATATAAGTGATAAATTCATGATATAAACTATTTCTTTAAAGTAGTTGAATTGATGAATATATTCTGCTCTTTTAGTATTGAAATTTTTAAAAGACATAAAATACCAAAAAACAGCAATGATTGAAGCATGCCTGACAGGCATCTGTAACTCAGCATAAGTAATTTATTACATTACTCACAGGTTTTTGTCTGTCATACCCATAATTACCAGCATGTGTACATTTACATACCTAGAGTGCAATATCTGATTAGTGCTCCTGTGAACAGCCAGTATCACAATACTGACAGTAATATACTTCTGTAAAATTAATTAGCTGTATTAGTAGTTCACAAATACTGAGATACAGTACATATGTAGTACAGGTAGACCTACCTGTGGTGTAGGTGTGTTTTTTGTTTCCTTGACAATATCACCATATCAATGTTAATTATCTCCTTTTATCAAATAGCTGTGATTGGTTAAAGTTGATAAACATAATAGCAACAGTTTGGACATGTGAGAAGGAGAGGTGTATGTGAGAAGGAGAGGTGTATGTGAGAAGGAGAGGTGTATGTGAGAAGGAGAGGTGTATGTGAGAAGCAGAGGTGTATGTGAGAAGGAGAGGTGTATGTGAGAAGGAGAGGTGTATGTGAGAAGCAGAGGTGTATGTGAGAAGGAGAGGTGTATGTGAGAAGCAGAGGTGTATGTGAGAAGGAGAGGTGTATGTGAGAAGCAGAGGTGTATGTGAGAAGGAGAGGTGTATGTGAGAAGGAGAGGTGTATGTGAGAAGTATGTGAGAAAGGAAGAAATAAATGTGTACTGAATTGACAGTACAGGTTTAACTGCTGTCTGAGCTGACATTTGCAACATAAATCTATAAAAATGTACACTCCTTACTTTCTAGAATTATCATAATTACAAGCTGTAAAAATGTATACTCTGAATTTTACTGTAGATATCAATTGTTTGACTGTATACATTCTGCTATGTATATAAGAATCTGATACATGTTGGGTGAGCTGCACTAATCCCATGAATGTAGTATTGGTGCTTTATATGAAATAATTGTAAACCGTTCCAGAAGATAATGACAACATTTATGTATACTTGAGTCCAATTACATGCTTCACAGTTACATTTGATTTCATGTCCTTTGTCACGTTTATAGTTCCTGTACTTCAAAATGTCATAAAAAGTAAATAATTACTTGTGTATCCTGGTAATCTAGCATCCCCTGTGACATTACTAAACTGTATTGGTGAAATCATGTATAACATAGAAAATGTAATATAGATTGGCATGGAGTTGGAAATAAATAATTAACTAATAACCAACAAGAACTAGTAGTTGTCAACTTTTACAGAGCTCTCCTTGTTTATTTTCCACCATTCCACCATATTGACACAAAATATCACCAGTGATGTATGACATTACATTGAAGTAATTTTAAACTGAAGTTAAGCATGGGCAGTCATGTAAGTGCAGTTTACACAAATCAAATGACTGATGGTGGCAGTTCACCAGTTTGCTGGGGGAGAATTTCCATATGATTGGTTAAATCTGAATCAGTTAAAAACAAAGGACAAAATGAATACAGAAATGACCAACAGAAAAGTCAATTTATTATTAGTAAAGTTGTTGAAAGGCAACAGACAGTAAATGGAGACCACTCACTTTAAACGAATTACAAAGTTCGCTTCAATTAGGCACCGGTATGTAAAGATGTTATACTCAAAGTTTCACTCACAACCATTCAGGCATGAATACTCAACTCTTATAACAACTTCATATAAAAATGTTACGTACATTATGTACAATTACATCTTTACCATAATTTCAGCTTATTTTTTACCATATTTCAACTTCTCTTTACATGATAAACATGGTTGTAGGATGGGGAATCCCCATGTTGTGCTATGTCACATGATACCCAAATGAAGCTGATGAAGGAGTGACAGAATATTCAATTACTGACAAGTAGAGACAGTGTTTAGAGATAAAACATGCATTTTCTGCTCTTATCCATGCTTACTTAATTACTGTCAGGCACAGGTATTGGAATGGTCCTCCTTTATATATAATATATCATATTATATAATATTTTAGACAAAATATATCATATTCTATAATATGTATATGATATGGCCCATTCAATATCAAGGTTATTGATTTAACTACAATTGTAAAGCAAGGTCTCTTAACTTATGGTTAGTTAGTCTTGTTGGTCTGGATGAAAGCGTGCAAGGGGCCTTACTGTAGGAGGAGGAGTTGTATGGCTCACGGCAAATAAAGAATCTGAAAATCTGCAGGAGGATACCAAAGTATTTGGGGGGTAATCCATGTGATCAAGCAAGTGTTTTTTCTTGTCTTATCATGGAATCAAACCCCAGTCACTCTGGTGAAAGATGGGAGCATTACCTCTCTACCACCTCTCAGCCCTGATGAATCACTGTTCAATCTCCCATCAATGGTCCAATTATGATGGACTAACCTGATATAATTTTGATAGGTTGGATTGTGAATGACAAAATTAGCTTTAGGTTTCCACAGAGTGAAACACTCTACCTACTGCAACAAGATTATGTAATACTGTAATTTGGTTGTCTGTCCAACTGTCTGTCTTAAGTCACAATATTTTGTCTTGACAACTGCAGTTTTCACTTAAATGTTATGAAACTTGTGTAAAAATGTAATTAATTGCACTGTGTACCTGGTAAATAACATTGATTTTCCTTTTGAGAATTTGTTATCCAAGTCTTGTAACTGTTTCAGGTAGCTATGTATATATATAGCATTGATTTCAATCACTGGCAGGGGATTTTCAGCAAGGAAATAACCTTAAAACAGAAAACATCAGTATGAATTATGAACGAAACCTTAAAACAGAAAACATCAGTATGATTATGAACGAAACCTTAAAACAGAAAACATCAGTATGATTATGAACGAAAGACTCTCAGGCAAATGTTACTTGGGTGTCAACATAAATCTGTTAACATGTCATTTTTGTCTGTTCATTTTGTGTCTTCTCGTAACAAATTTATTATGTCCATGACGTGTTGAAGTTAGTATGAGTAGATTTATTGAGCTATATTTTATACGTGAAATCATATGTCCTCAAAATGAGAATGCTTTGAAACATCATAACAATTGATCCCCACAGAAATATCAATTTGTACAGTACTTATGTCACAGTTGATGATTGTGAACTGTATCTGTTGGAATGAGTTAAATTTCAGGTTTAACCTTCTGATACAAGCTTCTAGATTACCTGTAAAAAGGTTAAAACACAAATTAACACTTGTACCCAGCTTGGACCATCATACTTCACCTTGGCTTACTTCAGTCATTATAATATTACATTGTATATATACACATACAGTGCCCCATGTTCTGGCATTTCTACATCGTTAAGAGACTTAACAATAACCTTAATACAAGGTCACTGTTACAAGGTTATAACTTTATTGTCTATATATCTCAACATATTACTAATCCTTACCCTGAAATTATTGGACCAGTGTTCTCAGTACACCATGTTTTCATTGTAGACTATGTAAATAATAATAAATCATTGGTAACAAAGCAGTATTTGAAGTAAAAATCAAAATTCAGAATAAAATGACATGAAATAGCATGTATATAGGCTGATTTTACAATATTGCTTAAATACAATTCCTGGCCCCAAACACATCTGTGTTCTATAAATATTGGCATTGCATTTTATTGAATGAAAATTTTGTATATTTTCTTTTTCAGAATAAAGTTGTTGATGTTGATGGTACTAAGGTAAAACTACAGGTAAGAATATCCTTATTCTCATCTCACCTGCCAAACAAACACCTGTACAGTTTCTAATGCATTGATATGTCATCATTTCCTGCCACACCTAATTTTGTTTCAATGATTACAGTCATGTTTATCTTTTAAGAAGGAAGAAGGGGGAGGGGCTTATTTCAGGTAATGGATTACCAGTACAATTTATATGTAATTCTCTGCATAACATTTGAGGGGCTGCTTATTACCTGGTATTAGCTTATTTTCAGATAAAGATGATATAAGTTATAGAAAGTAACAAAATAAATTTGCAGTTAGTACAAATGCAGAAAGTATTTTGATAAATACAGCTTAAATGCTTTATGTAACTAACCATATGTTGTGGTCAAATTTTGTTCTGAAATGTAATGATAAAATCAAATGAGTGGCTAATATTGGTTGAAATATGAAATTGTTCTTCCAATACATTTGCCTTATTTACTGTCATCAATATGTAAAATACTGATATTGATATGTAATTACTATGATTCTCTAGACTTACGTTAATTGATGTTCAGTCTCTGAAATACATAGTTTTAATGATTAGAAACAGGATTGTATTAATCCCAGTAATTCTATACTTTTGAGATATTTTTGATGACTGAAATTTTATGGATCTGGTCCGTCTTTCCTTGTAACCTTACCCTGGTACCTGTGTCGAGAAAAATATATCATACTGGTAGGATAGTATGAAAATTTTTTTCTATCACCGAGTAAAAGTAGTAATAGGTGCGTATTTGTACACCGACAGCATGACCATTGTTGTATGCTGACAGGCGTGGTATACAATGGTCACAGCTGATGACTGGGGTCACAGCTGGTCTAACCCACAGCTATGTTATTGGTGGCATAATCTCTGCCTTTACTTCTAGCAACACATAGATTTATGTGAACCATACACCTATTGTAGCTAATAAGATATTATGAAGCAAAATTCTATATTTAGATATTTGTTTGTGAAACATGGTCTCAAATCTTTCTAAAGATATCTGATTCATGCTAGAAGAGTCTGCCTAAAACACGTTCTTTTCAGAACTAACAGGTAGTTTCTGCAGATTAGATTACAATTGTTCAGGGTAGTAACATTGTTATCCCAGGTCCAAACTAAAATCATACACGTAATGGAGTTAAATCATGAATCTTTATTTTATTTTACATGAATATAACATACAACAGTAACCAGTTTTCCACTTTTTGACAAATTAGAAAGATGGATTGTTGTCATACAACAAAGCAATTGTTGACCTATTCCAGCCTCAAAAAATATCACCTTCTTGGGTTAATAAATCCTTATATTCACCTGAAAACAGGTCAGTAATTGTCTATTACATATTACTCTTCATGGTTTGGAGAGCCTCTTGGCAAGACCATGAACAGTATTAGTTAACAATTTTACAAAGCAACAATTACACATATACAGGTGGGCTCAATTATAACCAGGTATGGGCCTATTGCAAAAATCTTAAATTCAATTTTGACAACCTAAGGTTTATATCCTAGCTATTGTCTACTTGTTTGTTGAAGATGATACATCATATCTGGCAAGGACAAATGCATGTCAAAATACCTGTATTTCTGGTATATATATAACTTATCATGACAGATCCCAGGTGGAATAAATCAAATTAAATATTGATGTGTACCACAAACATAATTAAGACACTAGCTTCCACTGTCTATACATGCCACCCCATGTGTGAATTTAAGTGCCCTCATGTCCCTATATAGCTACCTATATATAAAGCTGTCAGATGTTTCAAACTGTCTCTTTAATTAGCACACTATACCTCTGCCTTTCCAATTCAGTAAATTGAAAGCTTGAGAGAAACTGAGCTCAATTGTAAATAAGTGATTTCAACTCCAACAGAACTATATAAATAGCCAGTAGCCACTACCTTTTGTTATATTGATACAGTCTAAACTACCCAATCTGGAATTCTGACAAATGAACGTGTGGTTTGTTTTTACTGTGGCAGTGAAGGAAACATAGAATACTGTTAAATGATTTATGTGACAGTACTATTGTCTTGTTTATAACCGTAGTAGGTGTTATCTAGGGTTGAAAACAAAATCAATATTCCACAAATATTTCCGGTAAGTTAACTGTGTTGTTCACAATTACAAGTCTTGAGATACACCAGGGATATGAACTACCTGTCCTAGTCAATATTGCTTTATGTCATCAAAGGTTTTAATATACATCCTGGCATGTTTGATCGCGAGTTTTCTTGTGTATAGATAAGAAATTAATTGTCATAAATTAATAGAAAATGCCATTGGCCAGTAATACTGGAATTGATCAACCCTACAGCTGATTACAAACTCAACATGATCGTTAAAATGGTCACATTTGTTAAATATTTATTCGGTGTCAAATTAATGAAATCTTGAGTTGTCCCATCCATATGGATTGTCCCCAGGACATAAAGTTGCTTGTTTACACTTGACTTAGCGTGAAACGCTGTTCTGATCCTTAGTTTTACCTGTATAAGTACACCCATTTAAAACCACCCACACAAGATATCTCCACCGATCTTGCTCCATACCTGAAAAAGGACATCTTAAATGTCACATTTCCATGTATAATATAGGTGTGTTTTATTAGAAAGTAAGAACCTAGACACAGCATACCAGTGCTGTATTGACGTACACCATACACCAGAGTGTAACATTTTAAAGTGCTTTTCATTATGTTAAACAGGTTATGGAAACCTTTTATAAAAGTTTATAAAAATCTTATTGTTTTTTTTTCACTTGTCTTAACTGAATCCAGATATATAGACCATTATCAAATTTCATTATTTTGTTTACTATAGGAGAAACATAGATACTTATTTCAAAAATATCTATTTATATCTACTTGCCTTCGGAGTGATAATTTACAATCAAATTATGTATGGAGTAATCCCATGATGCCTCACAAAGCATGATAAACCAAATGTTGAAAATTAGTCAATGATTAACTTAAATATTAACCACTTGTCATATATCCCATACCTTAACACAGTGATGGCATGATTAGGCATTTATCAAGGTCATTTAGAATGTAGGAAAATATATTTCTTCGTCACAATATACATTAGTAGTGAAGTCTATTGAAATCTATTTAAAGTGAGTGGCATCATGCCCATTTGATATAGTCATCAACAACAACTAGCAACATTTATCCTGAATCATTACTATATAATTACTAATTACTTATGCTATCAGGAACCCTCATCTTTTCCTGGCAGGTCTTAGCCTGTCATTTGACATTTCAACATCAGTCGATATGTGGGCAGAAAACTATAGAGTACATGTGGTGGAAAAAATCACAGCTGAGAAAGTTGAAAAGAGTACAAGTTACATACGGGAACACCATGGCTATTGGAAAAGATTTCTGACTACAACCATTATACTTTAGCTATTGGAGTCAAAAATGGCATTCATGGTGATATGAATGCAATATGACTTGACTTAGTGATGATTTTGATATCAGTTTTTCATTGTTATGTTGTACTTAAAAGTAAAATTCCTTTTTGAGAATGTTGGTAACTTAAATGTCAGTAGCAGACGAGAATTAGAATTATCAAAACTTGTTGATACCAGGATTGAAAAAAAAGTATCCCATCAATACAGCACTTAACATTTCATACTGGATGAACAAGAAATTTAATTGGATGCAGCAATTTTAAGACCGTCATCAAAGGATTCACAGTTTGTGCATTTGATTAAAATTAGCTGATAAAGGTAAATAACAACACGCCTATATTGGAAACATTGCTTTTCTAATCTAGATCTGAATGTAAGATAGCTCAACCAGTGTCAAACTGGGGATAATCAGTTCTTACAATAGATCTATTGTGTTGTTATCATATCCTCTGACCTTGACACCAAACTACTGACATGTTTACATCCTCTGACCTTGACACCAAACCACTGACATGTTTACATCCTCTGACCTTGACACCAAACTACTGACATGTTTACATCCTCTGACCCTGACACCAAACTACCAACATATTAACATCCTCTGACCCTATCACCAAACTACCAACATGTTTACATCCTCTGACCTTGACACCAAACTACCAACATGTTTACATCCTCTGACCCTAACACCAAACTACCAACATGTTTACATCCTCTGACCCTAACACCAAACTACCAACATGTTTACATCCTCTGACCCTAACACCAAACTACCAACATGTTTACATCCTCTGACCCTAACACCAAACTACCAACATGTTTACATCCTCTGACCCTGACACCAAACCACTGACATGTTTACATCCTCTGACCCTGACACCAAACTACCAACATGTTTACATCCTCTGACCCTAACACCAAACTACCAACATGTTTACATCCTCTGACCTTGACACCAAACTACCAACATGTTTACATCCTCTGACCCTAACACCAAACTACCAACATGTTTACATCCTCTGACCCTAACACCAAACTACCAACATGTTTACATCCTCTGACCCTAACACCAAACTACCAACATGTTTACATCCTCTGACCCTAACACCAAACTACCAACATGTTTACATCCTCTGACCCTGACACCAAACCACTGACATGTTTACATCCTCTGACCCTGACACCAAACTACCAACATGTTTACATCCTCTGACCCTAACACCAAACTACCAACATGTTTACATCCTCTGACCCTAACACCAAACTACCAACATGTTTACATCCTCTGACCCTGACACCAAACTACCAACATATTAACATCCTCTGACCCTGACACCAAACCACTGACATGTTTACATCCTCTGACCCTAACACCAAACTACCAACATGTTTACATCCTCTGACCCTAACACCAAACTACCAACATGTTTACATCCTCTGACCTTGACACCAAACTACTGACATGTTTACATCCTCTGACCCTAACACCAAACTACCAACATGTTTACATCCTCTGACCTTGACACCAAACTACCAACATGTTTACATCCTCTGACCCTAACACCAAACTACCAACATGTTTACATCCTCTGACCCTATCACCAAACTACCGACATGTTTACATCCTCTGACCCTAACACCAAACTACCAACATGTTTACATCCTCTGACCCTAACACCAAACTACCAACATGTTTACATCCTCTGACCCTAACACCAAACTACCAACATGTTTACATCCTCTGACCTTGACACCAAACTACTGACATGTTTACATCCTCTGACCCTGACACCAAACTACCAACATATTAACATCCTCTAACCCTGACACCAAACTACTGACATGTTTACAGTGAAATGTGTGATATATACATGTAGTCTGGACATTCTTTGACCCCAATACCAGGGACAGATTTTACAGACTAATATCAGGTGTAACCCTAACCCTAACACCAAACTACTGACCTGTTTACAGTGAGATGTGTGATATAAACATGTAGTCTGGACATTCTTTGACCCTAATACCAGGGACAGATTTTACAGACTAATATCAGGTGTAACCCTAACCCTAACACCAAACTACTGACCTGTTTACAGTGAGATGTGTGATATATACATGTAGTCTGGACATTCTTTGACCCCAATACCAGGGACAGATTTTACAGACTAATATCAGGTGTAAATACTCCTATAATTTTTAGATAAGTATTGTGATATTTGTATACATGACCTTTTTTTGTTATGCCCCTCCATTTTATAAATGGCATACCTTAAGAACAGACTTGGTTACCATATAGTATCTAAACATCAAGGTCTTCACCTGATCAACTTCTGGTTCGCATAGTAGTGGGGGTAGTCATATCTTATAGGCATGTTCTGCTTTCGAAATACACTGTGTATTCATCTATGGATTTTTGCATTTGGTTGGAAACTTATTATGCTTCACATACACACAGTCAGGATTATGACATTTTAATTGATGCCTGTGAAATTGTCGAAGCTTTCATTACCAGGATATGTGAGGTTTCCCAGTTTAATGTCAGATTAGTTTCAATGGAAAGTACACACATGTATGTGTTTGGAACATGATTGTCTCATATATGCTTACTATTGAGGAAGTCTTTTTATCATTTTATTTATCCTTCAATATATTATTGGCCTCCATCATCTCTAACACAGGGTATAGCTTTGGTATATACATAGAACATATACTTAGCATTATGTACATTTTTTCTGATCTGTAACATAAATAGATGGACTTATCACAGCACAGTATAAATAAGCTTTTGTTGACATTGATGCTAATAGAAATAAATAGGTTATTACAGGATAGTGTGAATGGGTTATTACAGGATAGTATGGATGGGTTATTACAGGACGATGTGGATGGGTTATTACAGGACGGTGTGAATGGATTATTACAGGATAGTATGGATGGATTATTACAGGACAATGTGGATGGGTTATTACAAGACGGTGTGAATGGGTTATTACAGGATAGTGTGGATGGGTTATTACAGGATAGTGTAGATGGAATATTACAGGATGGTGTGGATGGGTTATTACAGGACGGTGTGAATGGGTTATTACAGGATAGTGTGGATGGGTTATTACAGGATAGTGTGGATGGGTTATTACAGGTCAATATGGATGGGTTATTACAGAACAGTGTGAATAAGCTTTCGTTGATGCCTGATAAACATAGTAATACAAACAAGGTAGTATAAGACTGTATGATGTATCTATGGTGTTTTGTTTTCAGATATGGGACACAGCAGGACAAGAACGTTTTCGAAGTATAACACGTGCTTACTATCGTGATGCTAATGGTATGTCACCATGGCGACTATATTGATTAAACCTATATAAAGTAGCACCTGTATATAACGAACATCTGAGTTAAATTTGAACTTTGAAATCCTTAGGACTATGATTATGATCTAAGGAACAATCTTAAGTTATATTTATTTCACAAAGTGTCAAAAACTGGAGTCAATTTAATTCAGATGTCTGTTAAATGAGGTGTATATTTGAATTGCTTGGCCTCCTTATCTGATGACCTTGACCTTTGTTGTTACAGATTTGGGACACAGCAGGACAGGAAAGGTTCAGAAGTGTAACACATGCATATTACAGAGATGCCCATGGTACCAAATTTACTGTTCTGTTATGTCTAGTGCTGTGCCCATCTGTCTTTTACTCGCCCATCTTTGGAATCCAAGGGTTTTGCTCTCAAAATACATTATTTCTATACCCTGTGACAGAAGGATAACAACATGCCATCATACAGTGGTGTAAATGTTGATATCATTGAGAGGTTCTGTTTTTCATTATTTTCTAAAAAGAAATAAAATCATAATTAATAGAGGACTTGAAAATACAATAATCATTGTCGTAGAAAAGGTTTTTTTGCAACTACTTGATCATGAAAATTTGAACCCATCAGAATCTTGACAGTTGTCTAAAAACTGTTGTTTTATTGAGTAAAATTAAGACTTGGCACAATATATCAGCTCACTGATTGGTCAGTTTTCTTTTATGAAACCAAACACACTAATAGTGAGCCTTACATACGATGGCTAGAACCCCGTCTACCAATAACAAAACCTATACCCGCTAACAAGCTAAACCTATTTTCCAATTTCCTACTTTCCCGTACGCTCTCTCCTGCTATCTTCTAAACCTCTTGTCCTTTGGAACGAACGTTAAGTGGGGGTCTGGTGTACGGTGAGTCACGCCGTGCATGTTTAAGATCCTCTGGTTTACGAAAAAGAGAAGGCTAATTGCTAGCCGCCACAGAGCATAGGTTTTTAATAGGTAAATATAGAGTTAGACTAGAGTAGGAATAGGTGTTTCAGTGACAGTCCAAAATTCCCCTTTATGCCTCGGCCCTCCCAGCCCCCTCCCGCTTAGTGTCCTAGGCTTGGTTATAACCGGAACAAGGATGTTAAGCACCAAAAAAGAAAGAAGAAAGTGAGCTGTACATTTTTCTAAAAATATTAGAGAAAATACAGAGAAGATGTGTTATAGATTGAGAGCAGAGCTGTTGTATTTCAGAGGTATTTCCCACTAACAGTTACAAATCGTCTGTTACAGCTTTGACAGCTGTGACAGTCACATTGTTTTCACAAGTGTTTCTTATATCATTTTCAGTGTTGTATTTAAACATTTGCCACAAGTATGGATTTTATCAGAATGTACAATTTACGTGCATGAAGCGTTTAAATATCATGAACTGTATGTTGTTTTTTTTTATGTACAATCTTCAGTATAGAACTGTTGTCATGTATATACATGTAATCTTTCTGACTAACAGATATCACTCATATCTGGGCTTCTTACAGTAATAAGCTGGAAATGCAGATTAAATTCACAATTCTAAGGGAGGTTATGTTTTATTTTTTGTCTTCCTATTTGACCTCTGGAAATTAGTACATTAGAATTTGCTACTCACTGCTTTTTGCTTTAATTCAATCAGTCTTTACTTTGCTGAATTTGCTAATATTTTTATCAAGTAGATGTTGAATCAATGTGCGTGACCTTTCAGACGGTATACAAATGTTTATTACATAGCTTATGTGTTGTGTGTCTCATTAGAATTTTAAAAGATAATGAGAAAATAAGATTTTTGCACTGTAAATCACTTATATTGTATGTGGTAATTATTTTCATGTTAATTACAAGGGAGCCAATTACAAATTCAAATCTCACTTATTTGTACAAATCTCTTGATGAAATGCTTGTCATTCCATCATTAACTTGCTTATACTTCTATTGACTCTTATCATGAATTTACATATGCCTTGTAATCTCACAAACAACTCTGCTAGACATATATTCCTGTCATATTCAGACATCTTTAGAACTCTGTACTTTTAAATGACATTCAGTATTGCTGACTGCAGAACTTCACAAAATGTCATTCAACTGTACAACTGTAGGTCAGGAGTCAGATATCAAGCACTTGTGCCACAATAGACATAATTGTAAATTCCCATTGCTAACTTTTTGTTGGAAAGGTGCTGAAATATTTACAATAATAGAGTTTATAACATGCGAACTATCTATTTTACTGAATAACAAAATAAACAGAAGGAAAATTGTCAAAGATGTTACTACTGGGATTGTCAAAGATGTTACTACTGGGGTTGTCAAAGATGTTGCTACTGGGATTGTCAAAGATGTTACTACTGGGATTGTCAAAGATGTTGCTACTGGGATTGTCAAAGATGTTACCCCTGGGATTGTCAAAGATGTTACTACTGGGATTGTCAAAGATGTTACCCCTGGGATTGTCAAAGATGTTACTACTGGGATTGTCAAAGATGTTACCACTGGGATTGTCAAAGATGTTGCTACTGGGATTGTCAAAGATATTACTACTGGGATTGTCAAAGATGTTACCCCTGGGATTGTCAAAGATGTTACTACTGGGATTGTCAAAGATGTTACTACTGGGATTGTCAAAGATGTTACCACTGGGATTGTCAAAGATGTTACTACTGGGATTGTCAAAGATATTACTACTGGGGTTGTCAAAGATGTTACTACAGGGATTGTCAGAGATGTTACTACTGGGATTGTCAAAGATATTACTACTGGGGTTTTCAAAGATGTTACTACAGGGATTGTCAGAGATGTTACTACTGGGATTGTCAAAGATATTACTACTGGGGTTGTCAAAGATGTTACTACAGGGATTGTCAGAGATGTTACTACAGGGATTGTCAGAGATGTTACTACTGGGATTGTCAGAGATGTTACTACTGGGATGACTACTGTATAATAAGTATAAACATGTTAAATAGTGCACAATTCAGTAGGACACAATATGTATCACATGACTTCATTATTTTTAGGTATAATTACATGATTCTCAGAAGCTAAATAGTGACCAATATAAAGCTATCAGTTGTCAATATAGCAGTTTTCCAGAATCCATGTCTCTCATAGCTTATCATTGGCAAATTCAAAGTTATTTCTAGATCAACATTTGCGAAATTATGTATTTACAAATTTATCTGCGAAGATGAGTACATGAGGTTAAGTATTGAAGTATTTCAAACATTCTCATTTTCAATTTTAGAAAGAATTTCATTAATAATTTCACTGAATTTGTTTTCCTTGGACATAAATCAATGTATACGGTATATGTATGAATTTTTCCTGTGAATGCAACATGCAATGTTGATTTATAGACTGAAGCATACTAGTGTGTATAATAAACTGTTGTTGCCTCGGATCATTGATGACAATCATACACACTATTTTACGTTTCTTCTGCTTCATATTTAATTGATAATGGTACGTTAAAATGAACCTAAACCCAATTAATAATCAATGACAGTCAAAATGATACTTGCAATATTGCTGGCTAAGAAATCAATACCAAACAATTGATGAAAACAGTAAAATGTTGTGTTGAAGCCTTACCATTCACTGGTGTTAATTTCCTAGGAATTGTCACCTAATTTTAGAAGTAATGAAATAATGATGGAGTTTATGAAAGGCCTGAGAAGATATTTACAATTCTTATTTTATCGTCTAGATAACCTGGGGTTGGAAAAATGGGAAATATCATGTTCCTGGTATTATCATATTGCAAGAAATTTGGCCTCACAAAATTGAACAATCTAAATATTGACTTGACACCTTAATATGGTGCCACCTGTTGGTTAAAGTGCTGGCCTTATGTGAAGATCTAGGGGTGTAGTTTGATGCTCCCAACCTGATGTAGTTTGTTTCTCTGGAAGCTGAGAAATAGACTAGTCTGTGCTTACATTTGTGTCCTTTGGAAAGACACTTTAATTGCTCTGAATGACATGTAACTACCTCCTGTATGTTGTTCAATGAGTTATCAACCAGCTACTGTGAGGAGGTCCCACCTCAAAATGACCCTGGATTCTCACAGGAACATAAACACATTAAAAAATTTAAAAAGTCAGAATAGACTGTACAAAATGGAATTGAAATAGCATGTAACAAATACATACAGCTGTTTTCTTTGGTCCAAATGGAAGTACAATGTTTACTTAATCTACATGTATCTACAATATTCTACTTTTCCCACATTGAGCTGTGTAGTTTTGATGAGAGCATTATGTTTCATGTGTGATTGTTGTTTAAGATTCAACTCTCTTTCATTATAGCATTATACATCTTTTTCCCAAATATATAATGGTCCTTTTGTTGAAACAATTATTTCTGCCTCATCTGATAGCCGTTTCAAGCAACTTTGATTCAGTATCAATAACAGGAATGATAAAATGTTGACAATTCAAATTGCTTAAGTACAGCCATTAGTTTTAAACTCATTGTTCACATTGCTGGCAGTTAAATTTTTTGAAACTTTTCATTAATTTTTATCATTTATTTAGAAATCTTTTGTACATAATACAATATTTTATATTTCTCCTTATTAATCTTTACCAGCTGCATGCTAAAAAGTGTAATATTTTTGTGGCCCTCTCAGTTTCTGTGGGCAAATGAAGATATGTCACTAAGAGTGTCTTACTCTCTGTTATGATTTGTTGTTGTTAGAATTTGAATAAAAGTTATTGAGGTGTTCCAAGTGGAAAAGGTTAGTACAAGTTACAAGTACAAGGAAAAGTCTAGAGGAGAACAGATATATGAATAACTTTGGTAATAATAAGGTTTTCATTGGTTTTATTTCTAGGAAATATAATGATCGCTTAGATTTCTAATTCTCAATTATTTCTATTTTGCGCTGTAAATTAAATTAGATTAAATCAATAATTCTTGCACAACTTATATCTGAAATTTAGTTCATATTTCAAATTAAAAAACAAAAAATCAAAATCAAGACTGTTAGAATGTAGATTATGTATCATCAGGATATTTCATCAGATACCAATTAAATTTTTTTTTATTCACAACGTAGAAACACAGTTTGCTATTCATTATAACTGTATAACATCAGTACATTATTAAACCCAAAAACAGTTCTATGTCTCATCTGACTCCTACAAAACATCATCAGGACTCTTGAGGGAGATGTGAGCCAGAGGTTTTAGTGATGGTCTCCAGAGTTAAGCCCCTTTAATAAGTTGTAGGAATGATGGTTATAAAGATGGTTATGCTAGTTTAAGATTTTAAAACTACAATAAAAAACAATGTTTAATCAAATATCTAAACAGACATGGCCATGCGCCCTCTATCTATTGACATATACGAATCCTAAGCACAAATTAAATGTAATAAAAATGTCATGACATATTACATACCTAGTTATAGTCTTATCCATATCATCAGAATTAGTGATTATATGTCCTAATTTAAGGATGTTTATCCTTTAGGAATTTCAACAATTTATAATCAAATATGGGTGTCATTATTGAAATCCTTATCATGATTCATGGTACATCTCTGCGACAGAAATAGTTCACTATCTTGATTAACTTTTAGTAATGCTTTAAATTTATGACATCATGTCCTCTTTTTTAGAGCATGGTTATTTTCTGATAAATATGATTCTACTCTCTGTAATAAATGTATATTGCTGAAACATGTTACTTGTTAAGCACAGATTTAAACTGATATTGAGGATGATAGGTTTTGATTATGTAAGCTTGAGTTAGATTTAAATGTAAACTTATGCTTATGGCTGATGTTAATCACTCTTGTTGACTCGGGGTAAAGCATGTGAGGAGTCTTACTGTAGGAGAAAAGCAGCATATGCTGAGAAAACTCATGTGGTCAGACAAGAAACCCATTACCTTTCCTTACCAATTAAGGAAATTGAACCCCAGTCAGCTAGGTGAAAGGCGAGTACATTACTACTGTGCCACCTGACCCCCTAACCTGAGTTTGGTGATATTGAGAATGATCAGTAATTTCAGGTTACCGTATTCCGTCTAATAAGTACACTGCATGCCTAAAAAAACATAAGAAAGGAGTAGCGTTTATTAAAACTATTACAGTAGAAAATTTCCATGTAAAAATGTTTCCAGTCATTGAACTTTGCTGCTTAAAACAGAAACAGAAAATACAGTTTGTTTTTGCAATGAAAAATTACGATTTTCTGCTTTATCAAGAAGTAACACTGTGTAGTAAGCAGTTGTCAGATGAACTTGAATTAAGCACACCCATCTTGATTCCCAGGAAAAAAGGTTGGGTTGTGTAAAATAGGCAGGTGCACATAATAAGTGGAATAAGGTATGATGTCCTGGATTGTCTGTATATAACTCATGTGTCACTAATAAAATTTAACACTTCTTTGTTACAGCCCTACTGCTCCTCTATGATGTCACCAACAAGGCCAGCTTTGATAATATAAGGGTAAGTCTTTAACAAGATGAAACCTTTTTATTGATAATTTGATTTATCAGAAAGATTTAACACTTTGTTCCATGATTGAGGAATTGTATAGGTCATACTAAATATAAGATTATCAGGTCATGATCCTACTCATATTTGTTTCATATCAATATTGTAATGGGACAAATGTTATTTTGACTTCAGAACATTAGATAGAGGTTATAATCAATGAAACTGGTATAGATATAAATTTTCCTTTAATTTGATCGGAAACCTTTTTTTATGTTACAGGCATGGCTGGGTGAAATTAATGAGTATGCACAGGAAGATGTTGTAATAATGTTATTAGGTAATAAGTCTGATTCTGCTGCTGACAGGGTAATACGAACAGAAGATGGAGAGAAACTAGCAAAGGTAATATAACACCAATACCAAACAGAACAACAGCTGTGCCAAAGTGACTGATAGAATCTATCAGAAACATGCATACAGAAAATTCTGTCTCGGGAATATAGACATTATTCAGGCATAATAATGTTGATGTGGCCTGCAGTTAGTGTAAGAAGTGTTGTTATTAATTTTATGGATTTTGCCTTATATGTTGACAAAATGCTAAGAAAGGGAGTCTTGATAAAAGAAAAGTTAAAAATAAAATCTTATATCCATGTCTTTGTTTAATTGTATTTCACTAATGCTAGTTGGTATTTTCCAGGAATATGGTGTTGCCTTCATGGAAACTAGTGCCAAGACTGGGATGAATGTAGATCTAGCTTTCATGGCAGTTGCTAGGTTTGTATGATTACTTCAACAGTGTTATAATCTTGTTTAGTGAACAATTAGGTGTTAAATCACCATAACAGTATGCAATATGTTTGAAATTGTTTTCTTGTCCATCTGTCTAGTAAAATCATTTTTTCATTGTTTGATCATTTGCCTTTTATGTTGTGATGTTTTTATGTAAAAGTTATGCTACTATTTAATTTCACAGAGATTTAAAAATGAAAAAGACTCGAAAACCAACCGAGCCAAAATTTAATGTGGCAGACTATGTGAACCAGGAGAAAAAGACAGGGGGTTGCTGTAGCTAGTCCAATACATGGAACAGCCAGAGCAATTCCACAGGAATCTGTTACAGTTTGATGGACAGATGACTGGATACAGACAGAGATGTGTATTCCTAAGGGGAGTTAATCCAGCGAGGCAATCTTCATAGTTACCTGCAGAATATACGAGTATAGCTCAAGTCATGGACTCCATCTTGTGTTAGTGTATATTTCATAATTTATAATTTTTACATGTTTTGGAATATTTACCATATGAAATAAGTTTGGGGTTCATTATTATATATCAGATATTTTTCTTCATTTTCCATGGCAATTTTTCATAACAAATATACAGAATCATTTTATTTAAAATAACAAACCTTTTAAAAAACCACTGCTTTTCTAACAATTTTCTTTTTTTCTCTCTCTTATACATCAAAGTTCCTAAAGAGGTCTTGTATATGGACACATCAGTACATTGTTTCTAACAAAAACATGTACCTTGTCTCACTGGTAAGATATTGAATGCATGGTTTTATTAGAAGTTATTTTCCAACATGGAATGTTAAGTTAATGATTATACTTGTTATACCTTACTGGTACCTATATTATGGAATGTTTTCTATGTAATGTTCATTAACCCAACTAACATTCAACACCAGCAGTTTTCAAGAAGAAAAATATTGTGAAAATGATCATTTTTGTTCAGTTCTGTTGTTTATCAGGTGAAGATTTATAAAAAAAAAGTATACATGGTATATACTAAAACAATTTTAAAAATGAGAAAAATGAAAAAAGGCGTTTTAATTTGAACAGTTTCACTTTGTACATGATGATGCTAGCTTTCATTTTATTAAATCAACTCGTTACCAATTTGTAATCCTTTATGTGTTGGGTATTTGTAATGAATGGAAGTAATCTTTACGCTGTAAAATTTCTGTATAAGTGATAACAGAATATTTGTTTTTTTTTTGCTTATTGTTGATCGATATATAGATATACCCTTTGAAATGTATCTAGTGGATGAAAGTGTCTCCTTGTAACAAATCTGGTTTTATTTAATGAAATATATTGTTTACTTATTCATACAGAATAATGTTAAAATTTGTTGTCCCTGAATTGTTTTGTCTGGGACACAGTACTGAGACCTCTCGCTGGGCGTTGTCTCACTGGTAAAAGTTCTAGGACCACAATTCTGTTGTAGGTTTGTCCAAATGGCCACTTAGCAGTCATGAAGACACATTTCGATATTATTCTGTGACATCATAATTTTGTTGTTTTCAATGAAATTTTCTAAACTTATTATCTGTTATTTTGTTTTTATTGCAATTTTCAAAACTTGATATCTATTGTTATTTGTTGTCACAAAATTAAGATATTTTGTAATCTTTGTTTAAAAGTATCTGTAAAGGTATTTTTGTAGAAATTTGATACATGCCAGTTCTCTTTTGCAGAGTTTCTTACCTGTTTTCTATATTATACGGTCAAACCAAGCCTAGGTTTTGATGGATACTTCAATAACAACACAGAACACAGTACTTCACAATCTCCACTTTCTTTACCTCGTTGATTTTAGTAAGTGACTTTATACTATTTTTATCAATAGATAATATGTATTGAAATATTTTTGAGACCAGTCTTTTTGAAAAATACGCTATTCATAGTAAATGTATTTATACTTGCACCTCATTTCAGGGTGTTTAGAAATACTTCTGAAGGAGAAAGATATCAGTGGGCTTATTAGAAGACATGGAATTATTACCAGATAAATACATTCTGTATTACAAATGCCCGACATCTTAGGTAACCTCTAGTGATTACTCTAAAGTTGACTTGTATCAAGATCAATGTGCATCTTTCTGTTATTTTGACAGGAGCTAAAATAAATTAGTTTGAAGGTGTATAGATAGTAATTTAAGTCATGTGTTCAATTGTCTTCATTTTTCTTTTGATTTTGGTGTTATATTATCTTCAGTAACATAAGATAAATCTTGATATTATGTTGATAGTTATTGATTGAACTAATAGTGTAACACTGCTGTGGAATTCGAATTAAATTATGTCAGATTTTTTACTTGCATATAATTCCTCTACAAAATGCCTGGTCAATGTTTCAGTTACACAATCCTAGATAATACGTCTATCTACAAATGTTGTTTTCAGTTTAGGCTTCATGAAGTCAGAATATATCTAATAGGACAATATTGACATCAATTATATAATAGTATTTCACTTACTGTAGACTTATTCAATATGAATCACACTGATGCAGTTGTACAGAATTTTAGCATTTGGCCTACATTACCTTGGCAAGGGAAGTAAATACAAAGTCTGTTTCTACAGTATTATCTCAACAATGAATGGTTCAATACCTTCCCTATGAAGTGGTATATATACTCAATGTAGTGATTGGATTTTGCCTATTGTATTCAACCTTCTCTTAGTAAATCAAACTAAATAGGATATCTAGGGTTTTTGACTCAGATTATGAAGTTGGGGTGGTGGGACACAGTCTTACTAGTTGTCATTTCCAATTGACTGAAAAACATGAACAAACTTATTGCCAAGCACAGGCTGATTGCTGGATAAAATAACAGGTAAGGAGAGTTTTTCTACATTTTTTTCTCAAACTTTCATCTAATTTACCAGGTAAAGAGTGTCCTCTCTGTGGACTAAACATAATGATACTACCTACTCAGGTTTTTCTCATTGTTATCCTGAGTTTTTTATTTAGTTTTTTTTAGTTTTATTAGATTTACTGTAATATCAAATCAGATATTAAGATAAAATCATGTGTCATTGGGGGATGATATTAGGATTCTAAAGAAAATGCCACTATGAAAATCAGGTTGTATTATTCATGATATAATCAAAGCATTGTTCAATAAGCAATGGAGACACAAAATATGTGATGATTATAGACATTAACGGACTGTTTGTTATGTAAGTGATATATTTTTGTGTGAACTCAGCACACGTGCTTTGTGTGTTATTTAGTTATGGATCCTAAAGTGTACAATGTATTAGAAATTGTATGACTGGGTAAACTGTGGTGTTGCCTAGTAACTGTTGTTAGTGTTGCCAGGTACCTGATAATTAATGTGTTACTTGGTAACTTGTTTCATTCAATTACTTGGTATAAGTGTTATGTAGATATTTCATTTGATATTTGTAATACCTGTTAGAACTGACAACAGGGTTTTTTTTCAGTAAACATGGTTGTGATTTATTTCAACTTTATAGTTTATGATGTGAATTTTCTTGTTTAGGTATTCAACAGTTATTTCCTAATCAATACTTCAAACAAATCATATTGGTGTACTCTTCCAGGAAATAGGTTTAAACTATTACTAGATGGAAATTATTGTTTTTATTGTAAAAATCGCATCTTTAAACTAACTTCTGATTACAGAGGTCAGTTTACTGAATACAATAATTTTCTAATCAATACTTTATCAAATCATATAGGTGTTCTTGTCCAGAAGCTAGGTATACTGGTTTGAACATCAGCCTTTTTTTTTTTTTAAGTTTTGTTTTCAACGTTCATATCTGTCCAAAACTGTCAGAATTACAGGTGAGCATCCTGTATGTAACAAAGCATTAAATGGTCAGTGATGTCTCTACTGCTGTACACTATTTACAATTCAAATATTTGTGCAATGCTTATATTTTATAACAATTTACATAGTCAGTTAGTCGTGTCCTAACCACAGACTGTGTGAAATTCAACTTTCATTTTTCTTTCTTTATAGTTAATAATTTTCTACCTTCAAGATGTTAAAAGCAAATTTTGTTAGAAAATCAGTAATAATCATTGTAATAAAATGTAATTTTATTTTCTGTCTAGCCAATAGATTTACTATTGTTTTGTATAGCTTCAGTTATTCATAACCAAATGATATTAGTATTAATACACTTGTGAAGACTGTTCCTTGGCAGGGGATGTTTAATGGTAATTAATTAATATATGTTGAACCAGGTCTCCCATACAACAATAATTATTCTGAAATATCTAATAAATATAGTACCATAATTCTTACTTGAATTTATCATCCAGTATTTCTATAAAACTTTCAAAACATTATATTGTTGACATCAGGTTTTTTTAAGATGTCCACCAATATTAACTGTATGAAAATCTGATTTAGTATAGCATAGGGGAGTCAAGATAGTCATTCTCCTTAATGCTACTTTTCCTAGTTCCCACCTATAGACTTGTAGTTGATACAGCCAAGGAACAGCCCTATTGTGCATGATACTGAATTACTGCTAAGGAACAGCCCTATTGTGCATGATACTGGTTCATTGCCAAGGAACAGCCCTATTGTGCATGATATTGAATTACTGCCAAGGAACAGTCCTATTGTGCATGATACTGGATCATTGCCAAGGAACAGCCCTTTTGTGCACAATACTGGATCACTGCTAAGGAACAGCCCTATTGTGCATGATACTGGATCACTGCTAAGGAACAGCCCTATTGTGCATGATACTGGATCACTGCTAAGGAACAGCCAGATTGTGCATGATACTGGATCACTGCCAAGGCACAGCCCTATTGTGCATGATACTGAATCACTGCCAAGGAACAGTCCTATTGTGCATGATACTGGATCAGTGCTAAGGAACAGCCCTATTGTGCATGATACTGGAGCGCTGCTAAGGAACAGCCATATTGTGCATGATACTGGATCACTGCCAAGGCACAGCCCTATAGTGCATGATACTGAATTACTGCCAAGGAACAGCCCTATTATGCATGATACTGGATCACTGCTAAGGAACAGCCCTATTGTGCATGATACTGAATTAATGCCATGGAACAGTCCTATTGTGCATGATACTGAATTACTGCCAAGGAACAGCCCTATTGTGCATGATACTGGCTCACTGCCAAGGCACATCCCTATTGTGCATGATACTGGAGTGCTGCTAAGGAACAGCCCTATTGTGCATGATACTGGATCACTGCCAAGGAACAGTCCTATTGTGCATGATACTGGATCACTGCCAAGGAACAGTCCTATTGTGCATGATACTGGATCACTGCCAAGGAACAGTCCTATTGTGCATGATACTGGATCACTGCTAAGGAACAGCAACTTGTGTGAAATGCTTATTAGAATATTACTATTGTTTTTCTTGAAGCAAGGACAACATCTGAGAGATCTGAAAATGTATATGTTCACATAAAGAAGTTGTTGAAAATAAACTGTACATTGCAGGATGTTAAGATCTCTTTGGTTTTTTTCTGAATTTGTTGATTTATTTCTTAAATGATCTCTGGTATATTACCAAAGTCTATTTTACTATCTTCTAAATCAGAGTACAGTAGAATTACATGTCCTAAGTCATGATTATAGATCCTATGTCATGAAACAGCCTCATCAAAATTTGTGGACTAATCACAACACACTACCAGGTAACATCAGACTTTATTTCCCTGATCTATTAGTAATGAAAATGTACATGATGCATATCTCCTACTTTCACAACATATGGAATGTTTAATATTTTGAGCCCTGAAACAAATTTGATGTATTCTTACAACAAACTTGAGCAGCTACTTCAAAGCAAGTAATATAACAACCAAATGTATATAACTACCCAGTAAAAATGAGATTCCTGAATTCTCATCTATACACCATGAAAATTGTATTACTGTAAGTCAACAGCTATACAATCCCCTCATACTTCAGAGCATTCATTAACTAACGAAAAAATTTCAATACTTTTGAGGTAGTCAACCTTTTTAAGTGACACAAACTAGTTTATATAATCTCACAACATAATTGGACTAGCTCCCCAATTAAACATTTTATAATGTCAAACTTATAATGTTTATGAGTATTTACCTTGTGAATAAAAGTAAGAGATAAACACACTCATAACTGAAAAACTTGTGCTAGTATCCCGTAAAACTGAAGCAAGATGACTAAGAATATTTACCGGTACATAGTACAGACTACACATCCAGCACAACTCCTTAATTCAATAAATAAAAAGGAAAACTCAACAACACAAAGACTCTTCTTAGTAAGGAACTCTATTGAATCCCATGCGGATCCAAACAAAGATACTACTATAAAGTTCTACATCAGGAGTCTGGGATCATTCTGTATTTATTAACTCCTTAATATGTACACTGTATATCCCAATTTATAGGGGAATCAATGTTTAGAAAGTATCGTTGATGATCATGTGCAAGATTTATGGGTAACATCAGATATATTTTTGACACACTCGGTATTCATAATTTCACACTATTAAACTTGAGATATTGATCTCACTTAAGCATATTAATCTAAGATACCCATGTACACTGCACTACATACTAGTTCTCAGAATATGATACTCAACCTAGAATGTTTTGTAAGCACTAATGAGTATAAGTGATAACCACAAGTTTAGTAAAAAAAACTAACTATAATGTATAGTACTCCAGTACATGATAAACAATACAACTGTAATATTTTCAGCTTTTTGTATCAGCTGCTTAGAGATTTTGTTCTAACAAAGCTCATTGGTCTGGATAGAAAAACACAGATGTAATACATAGAAGTAAACATGTAAACAATATACATAGGTCACATTTTTGAAAAGTTTCCTGTTCATTTTGTTTTTTCAAATCAGTCTCTCAGAAGTTGAGATGGAGAATACAGAAAAAGGCCAACTGCAATAAAACAGTCAAAGACTGCCACAAGTGTCCTGAAAAGTCTTCTTGGTTTAAAAACTTTAACAAAAGCACAACAAGATTTTCAAACAGAAGTATAGTCACACCTTAAGGAGGGCCAGGGTAACATTGAGAGCATGGGACACAAGACACTGGAGACGGTTGTGGAGTTCTGTTGATTTCATGTTACTGGACAGATGGTGCAGAAAGGTGATGAACTTCTCCCATTGATGAAACTGGTCTTTCAGTGTAGCTGAGTCTTGGATGAGTCCAGAACAACTAGTCTCCACCACCCTACAGAATGAGATGTCCTGTTCAGCATCCACCTCTCTCTAAACAAAATATTGTTTTATATAAATAATTATCTGTATTGGTTCCTTAAACATGGCATATATACTTATATTTCTATGAAAAAAAAGAAACTTTTGTAAAGCACTGAATGTTAATCAATTAGTACATCATCAGATCCTGCAGTGTTTCGGGGAAGAAATATAGTTTAAACCCTACACATTATATTTCACAAGCTTACAACATCAAAGATTCAAAATTTGCTCTCTATCATCCATTAAATACAGATCAAAATTGTTTATACGGACAATGTATTCAAAATTCATCAAGGAAATTGTGTGAACATCTGAATAACTGACTTTACCTGTATGAGACATGAGCAGGTGTAAGCAGCTTTCTCCTCGAATCCTTCATTCTTCCAAACCTGGACAAGCAGTATCTTCAGTACTCTCTTCTTTTCTTTTTCAGTCAAGGAGGACATATCTGAAACAGAAAATAAATCTGTATACATTTCCTGTTACTGAACTATGAAGAGTTCAATAGTCTCAATTAATATAACAAAACTGAAATCATTAACTTGATAGAAGGATGATTCTTTGTACATTTTTTTTCTTTAAATTTCAAAGAGACATTTTAACCACTTTGTTTTTTAGTTCTCTGTGAGATATATCAACATTGTTGAAACAATATACATTTTTAGATATTTTACATGAAAGAAAAATTTGGTAATGAGGAAGCACTTTATTGAGAGAAAATACTTATAAATTACACAACAAAATGTATTGTTTCTTCCTCAACCTGAGCCTTAAGCATTCACCCAACTTTTGGTTACTGGAGAAACTGACCAAAAGGTATCTACACTATGACTTTAATTACCTGTGTAAGCCTTGGTAAGCAGATTCCTTTGGTTGTCAGGATAATGGGCAACATCACTGGTAAGTCTTGAGGCGATGCTGTCTTCAACACACGTATCGAGGGTGATTGATCCAATACCAGAGTCCCCAGAAAGATGGCGAAACTTCTCTCGTTTAGTAGTAGTCACATCTAGCTCATCTGACTCAGCAATGATGGAAACAGTCTCAAGGGGCTCCTGTGTATCAAATAAGGCATATTTATATGTAAAGCACAGTTTGAGATCTTTTGATTCAAGTCAATTTAAATTTAAAACAGCAGATTTGGTAATGAAGTACAGACTCTCGAAAAATCACCAGAATCTTGCAGGACCCTAAAAAGTAAGGGTTTCATGAAGAAAAACACTAAATATAAGGAACCATGCACCATACTAACCTATTACATGCAACTTGTGCTAGACAAACTTAAAAACTGAATTACTCAAATAATCCTGTATCAGGCTGATCTACAATTAAACCTGCATTGAGGTTTACAGTTAGACTTTAACTTCTGAGATACCTTGAAGCTGACATGCCTCTGTTTCTGGTGGCGATGAGCTGGTGGCTGCAATGTCACTGTACGTGGCTTGCATGGATCATCATCCTTCTGTATGTTGGTGATCTGTACAGTTAATGCATGCTGTTCCTCAAGTAGTTTATCAATACTACGCTTGGCTATTTAAAAAAAATTATTCAATATTATTTTACCAGGATACATGACAAAAATGTAAAGATTGTTTGAAATTTCTACAGAGAGATTTTTCAAAATCTGCGCTTATGGTGGTTCAAAGCTTCATGTATCGCTGTTATAAAAATTTTTAACTTATCTGATCTTTGAAGGGTCAAAACATGCAATGTCCTCAGAATTTTGCACTTTTAAATTTGACTTTGATCTTGATGTGAAGATCATAGTGACTAATTGCAGTGTGCATCATCTGTACATGTGAGTGATGCAATTGTGTTTGCAGTTGCACCAAGAAAACCAGTACATAATTTAACAATGTACTGAGTTATCTTGGTAATGAAGCTAGAAAAGAACTAGCCTGTATGCAGATGACAAGAAAAACTTGGAAAATCAATTTTCATTGACTTTGACCTTGACCTTAAAGCTAGAAGACTGATGTGAGAACCTGGTCAAGACAGTCTAGTGGTGTACCAATTCATCACATAATCTGCCTGAATTTATTCAAGTAATAACTTTTATTTTGTCACCAGCGTAATATACCACTTACATGTATCTTTAAATCAAAAGTGTAGTCATAATATTAACACTAGCAATAACATTACATCATGAATTGAAAAAACATCAAAATGTCTGCTTTTCTTATTTTGTCATCCTAACTTAATCTTGAAAACCTGTCAGAATATAACTTTTCTGTGTTTTGTGATAAAGAGTGTAGATCTCAATTTTTTATCTATGCGATTTTATAAAACTCATCTTTAAGTTTCATTTTCTGCTTGCAAGGTTTGCAAAAATAAAACTTTTATATGTTGTTTCATAAAATCTCAAATGAAACTGAAACTCATTGAAGATTCTTTATGTATAAAAGTTTCATTAAATCAGGAAAGTTGGAGGAGCAATGACAAGGAAAATTATACTGAAAACCTATTTTCTTAATATGACCATGACCTTAAAACTAGAAAACCGATTTGAGGATTTGTGAATTTGCTGGGTTGTCTTTGAAAATGAATGAATCGGTATAAACGATTATCAGGGAAATAGGCAGAGCAATGACAAGGAACTGTCTATCAACAGAAAATTAATTTTATTTTTATTTTCAAAAATTATTACTTTGACCTTTTTATCAAAGCTTGAAGGTCAATGCATGTAAGAACTTGTTTAGACCATCACAAACCTTTCTTTGAAATGGAAGTGGGATGACCAGGAAAAATAAATTGACAGAGAGCTAAAAGGCCTGTAACATTGAAAACATCAAAGTACTTGTTTGTTTATACACTGCTCTCAATAAATAAATTGACACAGTTTTAAATGAATATTTCAAAATTCAACAAAACTTATTTCACATTTCAATATTGCAACTTTCATTTGATCACCATGGTATCACCTATATAAAAGTGTTTTATAACTGATTCAAAAGTTAAAATGATCAATTGCAATATTTCTGTTATTGCTTTGTTTCTTTTTTCCCCCGAGTTTTAAAGTGGCTTCTTTTTTTTTGTGCAAATTCATGAAATCCATGAAGTTAAAGATTGACTTTTTATGCGTTATTTAACATTAGAACTCTACCTTATACTTTTCTACTAAAGTTAATTTTGCATTTTACACTGATTTTCAACAAATTTAACTGTCTCTATTTTCTCACAAAATTATGTATTTCTTTTTAAAATCATCAAATCAAGTATGAAAAGGTCCATTTATACAAGAAAAAATTAATATGCAACTTTTTTTTTCAAGTTATCTAAAACCAACAAATCTGACTTACCAGGGATCACATAATGTGGCTGCTCAGGTCTAGATCTCAAACCTTTGTTAGGTATACCTACTGCACATGTGGCCATGTCAGAAAATGATCTGTAAATAACAAAACCTGTTTTCCTAACAAAGTCAAGGATTAATCATGAATTTGAGGAATACAACATATTGTGGAAGGAGGAGGAATTTTGAGTTTATTTTGAGAAATTGAAGAATTTCCAACTGCCCTTTGATCATGTTTCAAAATAGGAATATATGTAGGTAAAACAATATGACATACATGTAGATTACATGAAAAAAATAAAAATGTTTAGGTGAGAAAGATATTTTACTTCTTTGATAGCATGACATGGAAACATGTTAAGTAAAAATATATGAATTGTCTCCATTTTATGGAAAATTTCCTCTGTTTTAGTATATTTTCCTGCTGGGGAATTTATTTTCATTTGGAGGGGAAAGTATACCACTTTGAGAATACCAACCATTTCCATTGTTAAATTTGACTATATGTATCTCTGAAAGTCAACACAAAAACAAAACAGTAGCAAATTTAAGATTTCTGATAAGATAATATCATAAGTATTGTTTCGCAAAGACAATGTCCAAATCAACAAAAAGTGACCTTTTAAAGGTTTATAGGTTGTGTAACTTTGAAATAGTAATCTTCTGTCAAATATTTAAATAGAAAATGAGTAGGGTTGATATTGAAATGAGATTAGGGAATTTTTTTTTAAATATGGAAATATTAATCTTCTTACTTGTTTGAAGATGAGAACTTTTAAGTAAATATATATCTACCTGTTAATCGACCTCCAACATAATGGGAAAATGTGTCAATATAAATGCTTGTACATGTGCAAATATACAAAGAAGGAAAAAAAACATCACTCAGCAGAAGCCTCTCAGAGTTGGCTGTGACAAGACCTGGTGAAATCATGTTCTGTGTTAGTTCTTGGGAGTAATGAGTTTTTCCGACTTTCTCTTTCAGGGTAGATTGTTTGGTTGGAAAAAGAACGGGAGAGTCGCGTCTGGCGGATTTGTCGTTTTAAATAGAGGTTTTAGGCTGTTAAATTTTATACATGTGACTATATATTAACAATTTCTTATGCAAATAAACCGACAGCCATTAATTCGATTGAAAATTTACGAAGAGAAGTTAAATCTATGCTATTTGAATAATTCTATCAAAACGTTAAATCATATACTGAACATAGATTTAGTAGACTTTCATCTAGAATGCGAGAATATCAATGTCTGAGAGAAATCAGAGATGTCATGGTACACATTATTAATTGAAGGTGACGGGCTGATAAACAGCCAGATCTTAACTGCAACTCAGACATTCTAAAATTAATCCAGTTATACGTATAAACGCTTTGTTCTGTTTACCGTCACCGATCATGGCTGAGCAGACATTTTATGTTATTGCCACATCTAGGTAACAGCCTACAATAACTTTAATAAAAGGTGAAACAATAGCAAAAATACATGTAAATATATTACTTACATTTCTTACTTTCGTTCGTTGGAGAGAAGTTGAATTAATGAATCACATGGAAGACTTGTGTTGAAACTTCTTGTTTTTTCCCACACATATAAGGACTAAAACGTGACGTCAGAGATTTCTGTGTTCCTGCAGTTTCCCCAGCCCAGATTTTGATTGGCGTAGTCAAGTGCCTTTGATCTTTCACCACCCCGCAAAGTTTTTCTAACCAAGCGACAATCGGCACAGAAGTAGTCGGGATTTCCTTCATGTCACACATCAAACAGTTGTATGTGTTGTATGCGCTTTGTGTTATCGCATATGGTGTTTCCTTTCACAAGCCATGACTATTATCTGTGCTGGCGTGTGTTAAAACTCGTTAGCAAAACACAAGCATTAGAAATGTATAAGTTTACTTTTTAGCTTTCTGAAAAAAGATGTATAGTTTTGATGTCCCGTGTGTGGTATTGTTCGACCTCTTTTTACATACGAGTGTATCAGCGAAATAAATATCTTGAATATTGGGAAAACTTTCACAATTTATCTTAACAAACTTTCAATAACATTTTGAAATAGAGAAAAATCAGATACACAATGTGTATAACGAAACATTTCAGAGCATTAGGATATGAAATCTGATGCAAATGTACGCCCGTGACTTAATTCATATATATAAGATCAAAGAATTAATATGATAATACAAACTGCTTGGCTCTATGTTTCAGTGTTCAATTTCTCATTTAAGTTCTAAATTTGAAGGCGCCATTAAGTTGTGTACAATCTTGGAGATTGCAGATGGTTAGCGCTACTGGTGGCCTAGACTTCAGGTATATGGACAACACAAAATTTATTGAATTAATTCTTTCATTTTGCATGTTTTTTATTACTGTTGTGACGTGTGAGATGGTTGCACAATTACAATTAATGACTCCGGCGAGATGTATTAATAATAATAATTTTTAAAATGCTATCGTGAGCCAGTGTGAATGAATTGGCGGTCTCTGACTATCTTCCACTGTCCGAAAAATCAGCGTGTGCTAGCCGAAACCAAAATACTCGTCAAGATCGCCAAGTTCTCGAGGTTACATTAAATATGTCTTTGTAAACCGATCTGAATGACGTAACCCTGATAATCGAACTAAGGACCCCTAGATCATAGGTCTCCTAGCAATGATTGTAGATCATTCAGCATTGCAAACGTATCTTTCAAAACCTATTCCTATTAATTAATTTCATTATTTATAAATTAATTGTGAAAATAAGTTTATAATCAAACCTTACTATTGATCGAATCCTTTTGTCTTTAAATTAATTAACTTTTTATCATCTTGGGAAAATTTATGCATTATGTAACCAAATTAAGAGATAATTTTACAGAACAAAATTGTTGGAATGACCTGAAAAATGTTATCAAGTTTAATAAAAATGTTGTTTGATGAACTGTATAATTTTGCGACGAATAAAGAATAAATGAAGTGATAGGAGAGAGTGGGATACAGGAATTAGGTGTCGAGAAGCCGTCTCTACTATCTTCCCAAAGACAGTGCATTCTTCTATGGTCTACTCTGAGCTGGGTCGCTTTCCTTTACTAATAAGTCCTAAGACTGCTGTTAAAATATTGGTCTGAAATGTTGAACACTGATAATTGCTTTTTAAAATAATTATGATCAACATGTGGAGCTGTGTGTGAACAAACCTAGTTGTAAGATGAATTTTATGCACCATGTTAAACAGGTGCTAAGTATTATCGGGTTTATGATGCGAAGTTGTCTAAGGACATCCCTAATGGACAATATTTCGTGTCTTTATATACTCACGGGTGCATGATGTTTTTATCCGACTGTTTTGATAACTTGTCTTAGTGTATGTTATATAAACACAATGTTGATAGATTTGAACTGCAGTTTTATCTCACTTAGTCTTCGACTACTAAATTTTAAAATGATCTCACTACATATATATAGGACACAAAATTCAAGTGCAGACACTGGTAAATACCAAGGTATACATAGAAACCAAAGGTTGTGTTGATTATGTAATAGAGGAGACCTTGAAGATGAAACTCACTGTATATCATTATGTCCCGCTGACTCTGAAATAAGATAATTATATCAAGCCATACTTTTACAGGCGCCTCTCTGTATACAAGTTGATTGACTTATTTGCAAGTAAAAAATGTAAAAAATTTGAGAAATTTTAGTAAATACTTGATTTAGGCTTCGTCAAATGTTTGAAATTTTGTTATTTTTTAATATATTGTTACTCAGTTTTTAATCAGTCAGTTTACAACTTATCTCTAAATTGTTACGTGTTGTTTTTGAGTATGCTATATTAGCATGTATTCGGTAAAATTTTACTCTTTGCCATATTGCCATGTATGTATATTGAACCTTACAATAATTAATATTGTTTATATATGCTTTTTTGTCGCAGGAGTTTTATTTAGCTAGCTGTGTTTGTAAAGTTATCTGTGATGAATGTTTTAATTTCTTACTGTGATAATTTGTTTTTGTGTAAATATCTGTATTTTTATTTATAGTCGTAATAATAGCTCTACAGAATTTTATTGTTCAAAACCACGACTCTAAATAAAAATCATTGTATCTTGTCTTGTTCATAATATATGTATCAGTATGCATCAGCATTGCTGCGGTTGTATTCTCCGCCATCTTATAAGAATAAATATCATTTAGCTATTTATCTTAGATATCCTATATGCTATGTTGCATTTGGAAATTAATAGAATTAAACTGGCATGTTCTTAAAGTATCAGCTCTTGTATTATTTATATATACACATAATGTGAAAACGCGGTGTTTCAAATCTAGGTCTCAGCACCCCGGGGCCTAAGGGATGGGGCCAAATAGAGGTAATAGATCATATTCTTAAAATCCTACTTCTCCACAAGGAAAGATTGGATTTTGTCCAAAATTGGTCTGAAGCATTGCTGGGTGTATGAGGAATCAGTTTTATATAAACGGTGCGTCTCGCCCCCATTGAGTCTGAGTTCCTATAGGAATGAATATTCTTTGGTAAAGGGGCGATACAGGCCTCTTGGGCCGCTTGTTTATTTCTTGTGGAGCTATTTGAAATAATTTTCAACATTTTTTTAGTTTCAATCACTTACGCACATATTCGTACATTACGAAATACATGATGTAGAAAGAATACTTACGATGTGTCTATTTAATGTATAATAAATCCTACACAATCTTTGGATTTGGACCGAGTATAGAGAAGTAAAAACCAACCCCGTGCAATGTTGTAGGTAACGACCGACCAGTTTGTTACAGCAGATATGACCGCCTTTTAATACCACCCTGTACGGCCATATAACTGTTTGTATGTGTTGCGTGATTATAAATCCGGAAAACAACTGATTTCGTTCAACAAACTGGTGATGTATAATTCATTGATTTCCATATCGTAAGCTCAGTACTGCTTCCATAAAGGGGGTCTCCGAATCCGAAACTACTGATGTGAGGAAGACGGAGCCATACCATTGGTCTGGGCAAGCGCTAGTGCCATAAAACAACCGAATTGGTCACCCGATTTTGTATCGTTCAGTTTCATAATATGTAGATCACTGAAGGACTTGGACAA